AGGCTTATTGCAGCTATCATTGAGAAGATAAATGCTCAAAGTCCAAGGGAATTAACTTAACTTGAAGTTAAGTCCATTGAGAGCTTGATTTTCTAAGGAAAGACAAGTTCACTGAGGCTCCTAAATTCACATTTTTTTGGCAAGTTCCCTGTGGTATTGAAACCATGCTTTCCTGCCACACGTGCAGAAGGGCAAAGGTCAGTCCCTCACTATAGAGGACTGCTGCCAATAAAACCAGGCCCCAAAGGAACAGTCTTGCTTTCTGACAGCAAATGCAACTCAATCACTTGTTGCCTTGACAGGCTTTAGCCTCTGGCTTCACTAGGTAATCCAGCCTGCTTCTACATTCACTGCTTCTCTCTCCTTTATTAAGGAATCCTTATTTTTGTTGAGTAAATGTTAGGTGAATAGAGAGGGATTGAAGCCATGACTTGCTCTGGTACACAAAAAGGAACTTACAAAGTTTCTAGCAAAATCACCCTTTCCCTGGGGAAGCTTTGAACACAAGCTCTGCATGAACAAAAGCAATACAAGGAATCACCTGCACTCCTCATATCCCTTTTCCTTCAACTACTTTAAAGCCTTCCTCCCCTACATACGTAACCAGATGGATGATCAAAACTGTACTTGTTTTCATTACATTGCCTAATTTAACAAAATAGCACTGACACCACCAGACGCTGAGAAGAGACCACCAGATCAGCAGTGCAATAACCTGCATCCCACAAAGACAGCCTATGCAGGGAGATGGGAATGCTACACCTACCTGCCACCTGCTCTCCCACCAACACCCAGCACAGGCTGTTTTGAGTGCTTTTAACTTAAAGCACATCCTCCTACCACCTATTTGCAATTTCAATCCCCACTGCGTGGCTTCCCTATCAAAAGAACAAATATAGGGTCAGGTGTAATGTAGCACGGTGCAAACCTCCTTCACCTGGAGCATGCAGCAAACTCCAACACATAATGGTTCTGAGGTTTGAGTCACATCTTATTCTATTTCTATCAGCTTTATTTAAGCCAAGTAATAAACTGCTAAGTAGAAAAAGAATCAAACCTTAGCCTTCTTGTATTTATCATAGGCAACTCTTCTTCTGTTTTTAAAAGTACTTCTGAGGCTGGCCACCAAACATTACTCAATAGAGTCAACAGATCATTATGCTACAAAGTACCTGATTTGAAGAGTCTTAAAAACCTCCTACAAGGAAAATGCATGAGAAGACTCTTTAAAATACTAGAAGAAACCATGACATGCAGCAGCAACTCTCCTGGTTTTAGCTGGGAGAGAGTTAACTTACTTTCCAAGTAGCTGGCATGGTGCTGTGTTTTTGATTTAAGACGAGAACAATTCTGATAACACAAGGATGCTTTAATTGTTGCTGAGCAGTACTTGCGCTATTACTTACGGTAATAGTGCTTACACTGGGACTTCCCAGCTTCTCCTATAGCCCTGCCAGCAAGGATCTGGGGATGCACAAGGAGCTGGGAAGAAACACTACCAGGACAGGCTGGGCATGGGTCAGCAGGTGGTGAGAAGCTGCAATATGCATCACTTGTTTTGTATATTCTTTTATCATCATTATTATTACTATTTTCCTTTCATTTTCTGCTCTGCAAAGCTGTCTATCTCAACCCATGACTTGCCATTTTTCCACAGCAAATGGCTGTGTGGCTTTCTTGCCGGGTTAAACCACAACAACACCTCAGCAAAGAATAAATAAAACTACCTATTTACCTACCTAAAAAGGAAGATGTTAGTCCAGATTGATGTAAGCCTCCTATCTTCTGCCTTGGGACCTGGCATGGCTTACCTCTCTGTTTAAAGGCCCACAGTCTCAAGAAGTATATTTAAGGAGAGAGGCAGCAATATGGCTAGAAGTGTTTCTGGTAAATTGGGAAACTGCTGTTTGGACAGTGTAAGAGGGTGTGTTATGAGCATCTGCTGTCCGCGGGTCTGCCGGGAAAAAACCTTCTGCTCTGCTGTACTGAACTTCTGTCTTTATACATATAGAGCTGTATAAAAATTGATGTCTAGACTTGTGCTGTCTGGTTCTAGATTGATTTATTTTTTTTTATATTTACAAATGAAAACAAAAGTTCAGGGCTTTTTTCCATATAAAATCCTTGGTCTCTGATCTGAAGCACAGACTTAACAGTAGCAGCTCTGGCTGAGGGATCCTGCTTCTCACACAGCTACCACTTTGGCTGAGCTGTGAGATTTCAGGGCTAGACGTGGTCAGATGCAAAGTGCTTCCAAAGTTACAGTATAATGGGGTCATCTGGCTCTGTGAAACCTCCAAGCATTTCTTCATTTAGCTAGTCATAGTAAACAAATAGCACGTATACTTTCTGAGAGTTTAAAAACCATTAGCATTTTAACACTCTTGTTATGAATTTTTATCCATCACTGCACTTCTTTGATCCAACCGAAATTAGAAGTTCTGTCACATCTCAAGTATAAGCTTTTCTTGCTACATCAATCCTAGAAGGAAGCAAAAAAGGTGATGGATCTCTGGGAAAAGGATCACATGTCACCTAGCTTCTCAGACCAGTAAGTCCCAGAAGCTCTGAATTCTGAATTGTTTAAAGCTCTGAATTCAGAAATTTTAAAATACTCCTATGATACTATGAACAACTGTGCCATCTAAGAGCAGGATTACATTTCTTTAGATTATTCTTATGCTTTTCTTGTGTGTGACTGAAAGTGCTTTCTCATCTGCTTCTTTCACTCTGCAACGGTTAACTCTCTTGGGCCAATCCTCCCCCAGCCTTACAAGAAGATGCAAGGAACAATGTAAATCTACTGCTGAATGTACCTGCAGGAGTTAAAGCATGACACTGACTGAATACCATGAATATTTATAATTGTAATCCACTGTGGCATGTGTTTTCTGTTTGTGCTTTCATCACATTTCTAGGTGATATACATTTTTTTGTTGTTGCTGAGAGTAAATACAGGAACTCTGAACTATGAACAATTAGAGCTTTTGCTGCTGTTTGTGAAATATTAGCTGACCTACTTCACTGCAGTTTTAATTAGGTATTACTCCCATGCTGGTCTCGCCCCTGTGGGCATTACACAGTTGGCACAGATATAAGCATTTCTAAGGCAGAGCAACTCACCAGGAAAGATGTGTAGAAAGAAATCCTTCAAAACAAAGGAGCACTGCAGGCACTGCAGTGATACCAGGTCCTCATGAGCCTCCCTGTTCCCAAATCAGGATGCAGCAGTGCCAAAAGGGAAGTCCAACCCATAAACCTACCTGGGATCAGTCCTGAATCCCACAAATACAGCCTCTGTACCAAAAATACTGAAAGCCTGGCACTGCGTCCAGGGATTTGTCACCTGCAAACTCAGGTGTAGCAACATATCGATGACCTGCAAGACTCCTGCAAGTCACTGTAACAGCCATCAAAGCTGTTGTTTAATATCCCAAAATAGGTTTTGCTGCTTCATGCTTCAGTAACTGAAATAATTCCAAATGAATCATTTTTAGTTTAAAAGAAGTCTTCTGAGGAACAGTGAGGCACAGATCTTCAATTATCTACTTATATCCATCAGCAGAACTATGGTATTTTGTTGTTTCATTATGGTAGTTCAGCTGTATGCTGCTGCATACAAATATATGCTGCAAAAATATATTCCCTGGGAATTTTTACAGATTTCCTTCTCCTGTTTTTCCTCCTTTTGCCAAGATGAATAACTCTGTATGCAAAATTTCAGTGCTCTTTGTCCAAAAATAAGCAGCAATATATTGAGCAAGAATATGATTCCATGTCACATTAAGCAGATAAAGTTGTACACACATCAAAGTAATTTCAGAAGCAATTAAGGATGAAATAGAAATTGGGGGAGCCTGTTCTCTCATTGAAGTGTGCCATGAGAGAAAAAACCCTTAACAACTACACTCCTTTAATTATACATAACGTCAGTGTATAGCATACAAAGAAATTGATACCTATAGCTGCATCAGTAGGCATTCAGAAACAAAAAGAAAAGTTAAAAGCTTCCTCAGCAGTGAGGTTTTGAATTTCATACAACAGATATGTTTTTATTATTTTTTTCCCCTCAAAGAGATAGGTTTTGGGGTTGTTTACCTCATAGCTGTGCCTCAGGCCACGATCCTCATCAATTTTCATTGACCAATGGTAGGAAACATTTTCCCTCTGTTTATGAATTTTAGAAGTGATTGAAATCCCTTAAATCTGTTTTTCCTATCACAAATGAACGTCAAAGTGGCCACAGCCAAATCCAATTAAACTGATGGCACAGTATGACCTTTCATCTTTAAAATCAAATCATTTTTCATTAAAGCAATTCAGAAACCTTGAAATGAAAGGTGAGTGGCTGGAACTCTAATGCTTCCAAATTCAGGTGCAGATGAAATGAAGCACCTGCATGTCCAGTTAGGAGGCCTCACACCCAGCATATTTCTCCATTTGTTGCAAAAGAGGATATGTTGTGATTTGGTAGCATTTCCCTTCTACCTTTTATACAATATACAAGGCAAGAGAAAATGGCGTTCTGGGGAAATAATGTAGTCTGTTAATTAACCATTATAGATTATCCTTTATAAAATGTTGACTGAGTAGCTGGATGACTATGCACAGTTGTGGGCAATATGTAGGAGCTTATTCAGCCACCCCTTCACATGGTTTTGCAAACACCTCATATTCATAAAGGGAAAACTTTCCCTCACATCATCATCTACAAACAGAGTGTGCAAAGCCTCACGTATGTACAGCCCTCTGTACAGCCACCACACATCTCCTGCCATTCAAAGAATCTTTCTTTCTCACCTCAAGTGAGGTTAGACAACCTCCATATTTGATTGTTTGGACAAAATTGGAGCTCAACTACCAACAGAAGATCTGTCACACTTCTTGCACAATGGCATGGTCCCAATAGGAATAGAACAAGTGAAAGAAAGAGGGACTGCAATGCCACACAACACACATTTACACCAGCACTCAAGAAGCTCACTCACATTGGAGTTTACCTGCCACAGGAAGTTCTCATAACCTGACTTCTGCAGCCATCTGAGGACATGTCCAGCTTGCTGTTGGTACTCTCTGGGTAAGGTAGGAACAGGCAGACCACATATAACACAGCCCATGCTGCCAGCAAGTTACGTATTCCTGTTGTTCGGGTACAGTTTCATCTATAAGAAAATGAAAAAATGGCAGATGAACCACAAGTATGGGAAAGAGGGACAGAGCACTTCTAGCTACTATAAAGCTGAACAGCTGTAATAAAGAGTTACCCAAGTTCAGAACACACCTGTAATAATTTATTTCACTCATTAGGCTTTATGAGTTAGCATGCTAGTGGCTGCTCTGCTTGTGATATGACACTTAATGAAGCAGTCTTTCTTCCCATCATCTACAAACATCCCGTTAAACCACAACAGGCTTCATTAAAGTGACATAAAATGAGTAAGTTTTCAAGGCTTTGCAGGAGAATTTAGTCACAAAACTTCACAATGACATTTATAGGACTTGCGTGACAGGAATCTCACATGAAATACAGCAGTGTGATGCCCTGTTTACCTACAAGCAGTCTTCAGCTTTCCTTTGCTTCCCTGGAAAGGGTTGTTGGCAGCACCATTTTGTCATGATCCAGGAACCCTAATGGATCATACCTAGAAGTTGAAATAAGGCTTTTCCAAAATCAGTGCATACTCCCCACATCTCTCCCAGATGTCACTGAAGTTTTCTGGGCCCAGCCCAAAGACACAGAGATGGGATAGAAGTGTTTCCAACACCGTTAGTAGAATAGGATGCTCTACCTAGTCTGTGGATCCACTTTAGAGGTCTCAAAGATGTTGCCAGCTGCACCATTTCTTTTTCCCACTCTCTTCTAACTTTTGCAGGGCTGAGGGGCTGACCACTGGAACCAAACAGACAAGACTAATGGAAAATGCAGGAATGGAGTGAGCAAAGCAAGGTGTTTGTTTTGTATTTGAACAGGCCATAACTTGAACAAAGGGCCCCAAATTTGTCATTTGTCTGTATGCAGAAAGCTTTATGGTGAACCTCAGTTCTATCTGAAGGATGTGAAATTTTTGGTCATAATTTTACTTATTTCAGTGAAGGGATACATATTCAGTAAAGCTTTTTACTCCATTATATTAGTTTTCACTTCTTTTTGAAGTACTAATTGAAGACACCAAGAGGTGAAATAAAAATTGAGGACAATGATTTCAATGGACATTTTGCCTTGACAAATCACAAGGCTGGGATTAAGCCTAACCAATATAGTGTTTGAACAGTTGAAGCAGATAGTACAAAATTGAAGTTGGCACAGCTTGGTTTTGTTTGGCACGTGCCTTACGAACATGCAGATAGCCTAAAAAAACAATATGTTATGCAGCAGTCAAGCCACAGCACTCTGTAGAAAGGGTGGAGCTCTGTGACCCCTATCAACTTGACATCTTAAACATGATAACAACAGTGCATATCTAATCTATCCATAACCCACCTTGCCACTGCAGTCAGTCTTAAGCTGATGAAATGGAAATGTTTAGATGTAATAAATCTGAGTCATAATATAGGAGCAGAGAAAAGACATTTGAAACGCTGTATACTTTCTGTTCCTTTGTTGTTGTTGTTTTTTGTTGTTTGTTTGTTTGTTTTTTGTTTTTTGTTTTTTTGTCTAAGATTTAAAAATCACCATATACAAATTCAATTATAGCTTGCTTTTCCTGAACTATAAGTAAGAGATTTCTCCTGGAGAAACAGAGAAGAAAGAAAGTGGAGGAGAAATGTCACACACTAAAGACACCAGAAAACATACTGTAAATGCTGAGTTAGGTTATTAATTTATGTGCAGGGCAATAACAGATCCCTCTATGGTTACTCTCATTTTAGTAGCCTGGAAAAATCACAATGTGTTCTGTGTTGTGGGTTATTTTTTTTTTTTTTTTGTCTGAACATGTAACAAAGAGCTCTCATGCATGCTTACCCCTTCCCAGACATAAGCATATTAATCTTCACATTTCATTTTTATTGGCATTTATTACACTATTGTTGCATGTGCTGGCAGTCAGACTCAGCCAAACGTGTAAAGAAAGACGCTTGTGCAACACTTTGGACAGGCTTAAAAGAAATATTAGTGAAAATCCATTTAGATTTAGATTTAGCAGCGAGCTACTATGAGCATAATATGCTTGTGAAGATAGCTAAGTGTTGGGCAACCTCTAAATCTAAGCAGGAATACTTTCAGATGGTCATAAAAAATATGCTTGTAATGAGAAAAAGGCAAATATGTTTAGCTTTTGTGGAAATACGTTTAGTGAATCATGCAAGTGGGCAGTTAATTCCACTTCTATGGTTGTAGTGTCTGGATTTATAAATTTCTAGGCAACATTCAGAGAAAGAAATCTTGTACAAATTATCTCATTTCTGTTGTATTCTATATTGATGCTTACATTAATTTTCAAGCTACAAACAAATAACTAAAGATGACAGTAACAGAATTTGCTGCTGTACAAGGAGGATAGCATATGCAGCTGCATATATTCATACAGTAGGACTATGCATGTGAGGAGATAGTGTGAAGAGAAAGGCTCATGTGAATTAATGTTTCAGGAGAAAGCCCTTGGGGCATATTACACGTTTTGCTTTATGGAACATAGGATTATTTTATCTTCCATCCTATTTGAAGCACAATGAAATCAATGTATGCTTTGCTTTCAATTCACTGAGATTTGAATCAAATTCACAACTGTAATTACAGAGGGCAAAAAGTGATCATAACGATTTACAATCATATAGGTGATTATAAACTGAAGTGTTGATTTACCATGTTCATAGCCCATTTCCTTTTACTTGTGCGAATTGGAATTGATTCATACATGAGTAGAAAATGAATTTGAAGTTCTGCTTTTTTTTTTCCTGTAAATTTGCCCCAAGCAGACAGCCATTTGCTTACTAGAGGCCACCAGCATCTGCCATTAGTGTCCTGACCTGGCAAATGCTGAACTGCTAGTGATGCATTTTTTATGACTACCACGAACAGTTGCTTACAACTTGAGGGCTTGCCTTGGTGGGGAATCTCATGATGTTGTAGCATATGCTCCCTGGTGCCACACAGAGAGCACTGGGTGAGAAGAAGAATGGACATGCTCACAATCTTGCCAGCTGGTCAAGCTTACACATAGCTGTAATTTGAAGTGATGCTAAGCACAACAGGTTTGACTGTGCTGAGTGCTCTGCTAAGTTTATGGTAGTTCTGGCTAACACTTTTGATTATATTTGCAAGTACAGGCTCCCTTTTTGTCTAATTTCCTACTACTGTCTTTTTAGTACTGATCCTAACATGTGCTCCTAGCTAATAGGGACAATTACAGATATGCTGAGAGTTAATTAGCCCAACACAAGGACAGGTTTTCTGGCAAGTTTCCCAGGTACTTGACTGACATTTTGGCAGGGACTCATCACAAGTGCTTCATTGGTCTGTGAACATGTATACATAATGCAAGTAAGGCAAGGGTGTAAAAGAAGGGGTGTTTTCACCCAGTTGTTATTAGAAATAGCAACAAATCTCAAAAATGAGGTGTAACATCTTTGCCACTCTATAGATGAGCTTTACTTAAGAATTAGGATTTTATGAACACCCACATGAGCATAGGACACACAGCAAATAGCTACCAGTTAGGCTGTGGGGAACACACTTCCCAGAGGTGTGTATTTCCTTGAAACATTTCTTAAACAATTATAAGTAATGACCTCAACTGTGGGAATACACAGTCTTGTGCAAAACTAATTATAAAACAAAAAAAATTGAATGAGTGGAAAGTGGAATGAAATAAAAAGTTGACATGAAATAAACATGCATCTTTGTGTTGATATGCATCCATCTCTATTCTGTTCATGTCCATTTTCTAACCTGATTTATCTGCGGCCACTGAAATCCAATGAATAGCTTTAGATGTAGCTTGTTTCTTGTTTTTCTGATATTGTTTAATTTGCTTACATATGTAGGTCACTCATAAAAACCATCACCAGCAGAGGTGGCCCACTGTTTCACATCTGCTACAATAGTTTGTTGCAAGAAAAATGTTGCTCACACAGTCCGTCTCTCATCAGCCTGAAGAGACAGAAGTGAGAAGGTGCTAAATCTGGACTATATGGTGGGTATGGTAGGAGAACAGAAGAGCAATGGTTTCCATGGTCTTCAAACTGATATGGAGCCTGGAATTGCCCACTCTTCCTTTTGTGGTGCGACAACAGTACAGCCATCCTGAGCTTGGCTCTTCATTCACCTTGCTGTTGCCACTGCTGAAAAGCACCACCTTGGTGCCCTCACATCTACTGTTTGGTCTCCAGAGAAGTTCAGCAAGCATTGATGAATGTCAGTGGGGGGCTTTTTTTTTCTTTTTTTTTTTTTTCATGGAGGAATTCAGTTCCATACCTTTGCTTCATCCGCACTTTCATGTCAGACATTCTGTCAGACTGCTCCACTACTGTCATCTGTCATGTGGCAGTAAAATATAACAGAATACTGTTGATGATAGTGTCATATCATCAACATTCACCTCAGATGTCATGGGCCAACACAGTAAAATAGGAGGTGTTACTTTCAGAGCAGCTGTCTTATCTGCTTTCATATGATCTGTCTGAGAGAGTAAGCCAGGCCTCTTGTTTACTTATTCATGAATGATATAGAGACTTTGTTTTCAGACAGTTCTTTCATGGTATCTGGCTATTCCAATGGTTTAAGTGTCACATTCTTTCTCATTATAGACAAAAGAAAGTCTTGCACTTGTTCTAGTGTCTTTGCAAAGCTCTTCATAGTTTCTTCATAGCATCATAAAAATTGGAAAACATTCTTCAGGATGCTTAGTACCACAGAAGCTACTGACAACATGATAATGTTGCTTTTTGTGCTTGTTTTTTGTTTTATTGTACATGTGCTTTTTAAATTCTGCAATAAAGGACTTGAGAAGCTTAGTAAACCCACACTGAACAGTCAGAAGTGTCATACTGTTTCAAATACTGATAGCTGTCACATTGGGATATATAACATCTATATACACCTATAAATTGGAGTTAAGAGTTTAGTGTATGGTGCAACACTTCAAGAAAGATGAAAAATAGGAGTGAATTTGGAGTGAAAAAACAACCATTAAATCTGAATCAAACTTTTAAAAAAGGAATAACAAATAAATAAATTGAATGGAATTTGATCTGTGAAATATAGAGAAGAGAGGGTGAGCATAATAATCTTGAAATCCCTTTGTTGCTAGTAAGAGAGAAAGAATACTGTGCTTTTTCTGCCACGGTGTGCTTGCTAAACCGCTGCAACGAGGGAGCATTCAGACTGTGAGGACGGTGAAGCACCTGAGTATCTATCTTGGCAGATAGTAGGATGAGATACTGTATAAATGGATGAAGCAGACATTTGTTGGGATTGGGATTCATTCTTTGAGAAGGATATCAGACTACAACTGTCCTTTCCAGACTTATGAGAAGATTTTATGGTCTATGTCTGTTTAGGAGGAGTTAACTTATCTTCCTATGTGCAAATAATAAGACTCAAGATTGACTTATGAGTCCTACTGAGTTTTGTTCTTCATTTTACCCAGAACGGGATCTACATTATGAGTAAATACCTGAAAAAGCCTGTATCCTTGTCAGACTTTGCTATGATGACAAGTCTCCATCTATATACAAAAGGCTGTGGACTGGTAATCTAGCAAAGCTAATTATAACAATAAAAGTGAGCATACTACTGGGAGGTACCTTCCTTCGCAGCTTGTATCTGTCCTAGTTGTCCGGTGAGTGTATTTGCAGGAGATGAATAGCCATTTCAAAGCTGTTTCTCCATTATTTTCCCACGTTTCAAACCCTTCTAATTCTTCCAGCACCAGACTGTGGAGTTTCTCATTTTCCAAAGCCAACATGCCCTTATTACTAGCTGTGCCAGAAGCGTCCTCAGGTTCTATCTATTCAAAATTCTTTTGCAGTTTCATCTCCTGAAGATGTATGGTCCTGGCTTTTGGAGACTGAATGCCTACACAAAAGAATAAAAAAAATCCTGCATAAACCCACACACTCTTATCATATCATATCATAGAATGGCCTGGGTTGAAAAGGACCACAATGATCATCTAATTTCAAACCCTCTACTATGTGCAGGGTCACCAACCACCAGACCAGGCTGCCCAGAGCCACATCCAGCCTGGCCTTGAATGCCTCCAGGGATGGAACATCTACAACCTCCTTAGGCAACCTGTTCCAGTGTGTCACCACCCTCTGTGTGAAAAAATTCCTTCAATAAAAATATCTTGTTTAGAAGTTGGTAAGAAGTGTTGTGATGGTGTCAGTTTCACACGCATGAACTAATGTTGTTATCCCCAAAAGGTACATCTTAAAAACCGGTCCTAAGCGCATCTTTTTTTGTGGTGACAGTGCCCACCTCTTTTTCTACATCATGGCAGTACACTGATTTCTCTTGTATTAAATTATTTATCTGTAACAGGTGACAGCTTCATTACTAGAAAAAAAAATACCAGGCCAAGTAGAATTTCTTTCAAGCTCTTCTTGTAGCTCAAAATTTAGGGCTTGGTGATCTGTAACTTAAATCCCACAGGTAATGAATACTCCAGTTGTAGTCAAGAAAATCACAGAAGGCTCTGAGGTTAGGAGGAGAGGTTTTTTCCTGAGCCTCCATTAAAAATTACCTTCATACTTGAAGCCGAACATCTGCCTGAGTGCTCTGTTGGATCAAAATCAAAATGCTTAGCACTTTGCCAGGCAGTGCTCTGACAATCTCAAGGCCAGTGATTTTTTACAGCAGAAAGTCAAGCTATTAGAGGATTAACAAAGGAGAAACAATGTTGAAAATACCAACTTACTGCCTTGCTTCCTCAAGGAGATGACATTGTATGTCTTTATCATAAATTAAGAAAAAAAAAAAAAGGTTGTAGTGGTGTGAGGTAATAGTAATGACTGTGAAAGTTGGGCATGCCAGGCACGGTATTTAACAAGTCTCTATTTCATCACAGGCTGCATTCATTTACAAAGGACTCCTTCACATTAAGAACAAAAGAAACAAAATTTCTTTGAATGCTCTGAGTGCACTGACTGCCTAATGCTTTAAGTGCCACTTCACAAGCTAAGCTGACAGGAAATAATAATATAATTTGCCAGCAAGGACCTTCAGGTTGGGCAATTCCTGGCAGTTAACCCAGTCTTTAACCTGACAGCTCTGTTGCTCCTGGAAGGTGCCCGATCCTGAGGCTTCCATAGCTAGGACAATTGTGGGAGTGCTTAGAACAAATAAATTAACATTTTTATGTGTTGGAAAGTTTAAAACTGAACTGCACATTGCCATGGAGACGGTGCTATTTAGAGCACAGAGATTTTCCAAGTAGTGAGAACGCAGCTTAAAATCCAGGAGGAAAGAAGGTTTCAGGATTTACATTTTCTTAGGTTTACAATCACTGTACTTCACATGTAGGAAGTACAAAGATAATGTTAATTGATTCTCTGAAGTTATTGGTACATTCTGGGGACATACTAGGAATATCATACTGGAAAAGTCTCTCATTGCTCTGGTCTGCTCCAGTTCTTACAGCATGGCCTTCCTGCAGTAACACTTCAGCATATTACTTGAGCCATCAGAAGGGGTAATATTAAACACTGCTTAAGCATCAATCAAAACATATTGCAATAAAGTGCCTTGAATTTGTTGGCATTACGTAATGCACTGAGTGCCCCAAATTACAAGCGTCAAATTCTGATTGAAATCTTATTAAAAAAATTATAAAATATATTCTTGAAAATTAGAAGCATTCCATAAGTCTGCTAGTAAACACAAGAGAAGCTGCATTGTTTGGATGTCAGACAAATATCTGGTGTCTGTAAAAACACTGTGTGTCCCAAAGCATGAATCTATTTTATTAAGAAAACTAGTAAACTGAATATTGAATAAAAAAGCCACCCTGGCACTTCTTAATGTTTTATTTTAAAGACTTTTGTCATCTCATCAAGGAGTAGAAAACACCATGAATGAGCTTGTACTGTAAATATTGATTCTAAAGTTACCTATTAGAGATTCAAATGTAAGAGAAGATGAAAACCACACGAATTTAGTTCCCAGCGATTAGATGCAGTTTGACCAGTGCTTCAGCTTTGTCTTATTGGCTACACCCTTCGATTAGCAAAACTGTTTTGGTTTTTATTCTCTATTTCTTCATTTTAATAGCTTTTTAAACAAATGATGATTTGGGAGATGGCTTACAAATGATTCAGTGCAGTGTGAAACAGTGTGATTCACTCATTGTCAACATACCTCAAGTGACATAGGCTTTCCATAAGCACACTTGTGGAGAAGTCATAATACAAACTTATGGAACAGTCCTGCTGAATGCCTGAAAGAGGGTCTGAAAGGTGGAAGGGATCTAGGATCAGAGCATTCTGATTTATACATGAATTGTAAAAGAAAGCATATGTAATATCATGTGCCAGAGCATACTGCAAACAATGTAAGCTATTGCAAACTATGTAAGCTACAAATAAGGCAACAGAAAATGAATCCTCATTCATCTCATCAAAAATGCAATACACTAGACACTGGATGCTTGGATTTCTGTTCTTGATTTGTGGAAATTCTTGCAAGGCCTTTCATATTTTTCCCCCCTCTCCAGATGTGGAACAATAGGGTGATACCCAATAATAATCCATTAGAACTGTCAAGGTGGAATTTATTGTGCTGGAGAGTGAGAAGGCACTGTGTGTTAGTTACTTTTCCCTCAAAAAAAAATCTTATGTTATAAAATATGTGCTGCAATGGCCTGTGTATGAACAAAGATTACTCAGCTGTGCAATAAAATATTAAAAAACAGCTACCCCGAACTAATATGACAAATCATTATAAACAATGAGTCAACTTGAGAAAAATCAGAAATTGCTCTTAGAATGCCTCCTGTACCTTCTATATTTCGCAGTATTGAGCTGCATTCAGGAGCTTTTCAAGCAAAGGCTGTGGTCTGGCTGCGGAGATCTCTTTCCAGGAGGTTCGGACATTTGAGGAATGGGAGCAAAGGAGTATCTCAGGTGAGAGAGGGAACAAGATGATCCATGGACACTCCCTCTCCACAAACGTTACTCCTTTATACAGTTATTCCTTTATACAGATTTATAAATCTGCTCTGTATTCCAAGGTGAATCTTGGAGCCACAGTTAAGAGTGCACCAAGCTCAGCTAATAAACTCTTCTCCTACATTAGCAGACCAACATACGATACTGTTGGCTTGGAGCACAGGCAGAATGAGCTTATGTTTTCTTATAAAAGCCCTCCTAAATACACATTATACTGGAATCCAAATACAGGCATAACCACAATTAGAAATCCCAATTGCCTTTACTAGCAATTCTGGCCAGTGTATGAAAAATCCCTTCATACCTGTGAGGTAAATGAGATCAAGCTGAGTGTAGTCCCAGAACAAGATTTTGCGCTTGGGATTCTGCCAAGCTTTGTTTTATCAGCGTCCAGAGCTGTTGTCTTCTTTATGAAAAGGAAACAAACACCACTGAAACAGAAGAGAGATAAAGTGAGAAGAGTGATTAAAGGGCCTTCTTTAATTACTCATGTTCTGAACTTTTGCTCCAGTTGTGTATTTTCAGACCCACCTTAGGACAAGTATCTGGCAACATGTACAAACATTCCCAGTGAAGCAGGAGAGTGTCTGCATATCTTCCAGAAAGATGCTGTCAGTTACGTGCCCTTCATACTGTATTCATTTGCTACATTTACATCAATAAGCAATTGCTCTCCCTCTTGCACGAGTGATCTCTGTCCCTAAAGAGCAGTAGTTCATAAAAGATCACAAGGGAAAAAAATACAGCTCTTCGTCCTTTAGTAGACAAAAGAGAAAAAAAATTACAAACATATGAACACTGTAGTAGAAATTATACATGATATTTAAACACTCTTGAACTCAAAATGTTAGGTGCATGCTCTAGGAGTGGCATCAGATTATTTCAGGTGGAATGCTGCAATAACATGTCTTATTTTAGGAATGAGGGACAGTCTGACACCTTTCCTCTTCAGCAAAGGGTGATAAATTCCCTATTCTTGGTAAAGTCAGTGGGTGCAAAATACTACCTCGTTTGGAATTTGTGTCTCACTTGAGATCTCATACTTTGGTGTAGCAGTGCATAACCAGTTAAGGGGAAGAATTCATACTTCAGCAGTTGTGAGTAGCAGAATCAAGTAGTGATTCTACAAAACGGCCATCCAGTCCCTCACTCAATTCTTACTGCTCTTTCTCTCTAGTAATATCCTTTCTAATGTCATGTCCATTCTTTCTAGTAGCTTGGTAGAACACAGAAGGAAAATTTTCACTCCAGAGAACATGTGATATAAAAGCTGAAGTTAATGGGGCAATTCTTACCCACTGAAAAACAAAGAAGCTTCTCAATGCATGTCCTTAGGCTACATAAAGGAAATTCAGTGTTACTTAATCTTCAACAGTGAAAACCTATTGCATATACCCTAAGGCTAAAATAAATCAATCAGACACAGGAAATATTGTTGACAGTAATGAACTCAACCTGTAAAGAATCAAGAAACATAATTTTTCTGATTTTTTAGGTTATGTACTACAGAATAAAAAACTCTGAGTCTGGAGAGTATGCTGGATCTGTAAAGCCCAATCTGATAATAGAGTCCTGCTCACCCAGAACATAGGCTCACAAATGAACATTTCCTAAGGCTGACTATATGTGCTCCATGAGCTTCACTGACTACACGCCATGACTCTCTTCCAACTGCGCATCCGACACCTGAATCTCCTCTCTTTTTCCTTTCAAATAAATGAATAACACCTGGCAGCCCCAAAGATTACAGAGCATGTTAGAAAATCTTTACTTATTCACAGATAACTCCTACAAGTTTATGGGAAAAAAAACAACAAACAGATGATACAAACACTAATGCTCAGGCAGAAGACAACAATACTTCCAGAAGCCTGATAGAGAAACTTCACCACTTTGTTTGACCTTTTTCATCCTGTAATATTTTCTGGTGTGAAATCATAGTCAGTAAATTTTTCTCTCCATGCTTGGCAAGACTCCAGATGGCTTTTATGTCACCTGTTCAGACACAAGAGGAATGGGACATTTGGGGTGAAATTAACCTGGTGGGCATTGCTGCAATTAGAGAGATGAATGGCTATCAGCCTTAATTAGAACACTAGGTACATGCTCCATATCCTTCTTAGGATCCAGCTCACTAAGCTAGGTAGTGTGGAGATAGCATTCAATACCTGTAGACCTGCAAACACTACTTCTAAATGAGGGGCTACTTCAACTCCCTGTTTACTTGCAAATGAAATACAGCTTAGTAGGAAAAAAAATCCCGATTGTCAGAAACACTCCTACCTCATTTATCCTAAAAAATAAGAGCTGTACTATGCTGAGAAAGGTCATACAGGGATGAAAAGTGAGATTGGGAAACTTATATTACAATTATAAGAATACCTGTGCCAGATAACATACAATTACATATTTCAAATCTCATTTTAATATTGGAATTGTTTTTGTGATGCTTGTATAGGAAAACTGGCCTTCAATACATACTTCCTTTGCTTTTCGAGCTTCATGAGAAAACTCTCTGTGCTTTATCTACACAAACACAAAAGTACTAAAAGAACGTTATTAAGGTCATCAAGACAAACTCTCTTAAGGTTAGGAAAGAATTAAGGTTGCTAATGTTGCCTCAGCTAAGATTCCCTTTTCTATGCAACTTAGGATATAATCTTTCATGATACAACCATATTTTCCTGCCTCCTTTAATGCACAGAATGGAATGCACTCACTTAATGAGTATCAATTCAACGTGTGTTTTCTGCTTGTTGTTCAGTCTATTGCCCGAGGCTTAATTTACTTCACATTTACAAAAGTGGTTCTGAAGACAGAATTATTAATTTCCTCCTGGATGTTTCTGTGGTTCTCATTTTTCCATAAATGGCAAATATTGCGCCCTTTATCTTCCCAACACTTTTCTTAGCTAAGGGAATGGCACCATACACAATTTACAGAAGGGAAACCAATACAAATAAGTTTGAATTAAAAAAAAAAAGCACCAGTTTTTGATGTCTTGTTTATGCCAATCAAAAGTAGTGATTAATGAATTACAGGACTTTCCATTAGTCTCATTTTTTTCTCTTGTTTGTTGTTTAAGTCATTGCTCAAATTGCTTTGGTTTCTGCTCAGTTAGCTCTTCACTGTTTCCCTTCCCGAACTTCTCCTCCCTTCTGACACCAGTTCCCAGTACAAAATGGTATTGATATCTCCTCAGCCAGTCGCAATGCTATCTCTGTCTTTTTGTCAGACATTGCTATTAATCCCCCCCTCAGGTGCTTTTCAACATTTTTTCCCTTATCCCTTGCTTCATTATTTTTATTGTTATTATTTTTTAGTCCAGCCGGTCTTGCTAGCTCTTCTATTTCTTCACACAAAATTTACTCCTTCCCTTATCAATTCACTTCTCGTTCATCTTACCCAGCACTCCCAATCTCTTTTCCTCACAGCTTTCAGTCTTCTTTTTTTTTTCCCTCCAGAACATCTGCATTTCTAGCTTTTGCCCTTTTGCCACATGTCTCCTTGGCACCAGAGTGTGCCCATCTCTTTAGCAAATTCCAGCTCTTGTGAAACGGTTATATTTCTGGTATTGATGACTAACAGGGGATTCACTTCTTGTAGAGGAGACACAAAATCCTTTTTGTTGGTAGTGCTTGGTCTTGATATCATACATAACTACCAGACGGCTTGTTTTGGTCCCATACAACTCATGCCTCATGCAAGCAGAAACTTTGAAAGACTTAGCCATAAAACCTATGAACTTACTTGAACTCTAACAAACCAGTTATTTTCTAAAGGCTTACAGTTTGGCCGACAGTGGAATCTGTTATGTTTTTTCATTATTTTATTTTCCTTTAATGGATATGATAATGGGAGCATCCCCGACAAACTACCTGCTATGCTTTCACTTTGGTTCCCACTTTCAGAGTGAAGATTCAGTCACCTCTGAGGAATTACCCAAACAGAAGTCTTTTAATGCTTCAGCTGTTCAACTGAGCAACTTCGTTGAAATATTAATAGTTCTACACACACACACAAACACACACACACACGGATATATTTTATTTACATAAAATTTGGATGGGCCCATCACAGAAAACACTGACTTCAAAAATTTCACAATTTAGAGAGTTACAACATCCTATTTTCCGTTTCTTGTAATAAGAAATGTTTGGTAACTTTAAATTACAGAAACTGTCAGCAGCCATACCTTCAGCACACGAACACACAAAGAGGTTTGCACGTATCTCCATAAAAAGAAAAAATTAATAAAAATATCTATATACAGATATTCACAGAAACATGAACATACACAAAGGCCTTTTAGTTTTCATTTACCAAAATCAAGATACCTATGGGTATGTTTTAAAGGAAGATACCTAGGGAGGAAAAAATCTAGTTTTCAAAGCAATCTAGCACATCCCTTTCCAAATGCATGTTCCAACTGTACAGCTCTTGGAAAAAAATTAACAAGCTCTTGTTAGTAATGGACAAAATATCAATAGCACAGTAGAGCTGAGTTTCTAAATGTGTGCATTATGAACAGTGCTAAGTGTGAATACTTGTGGTAGTTACAAAATTCACTCTTGAATCTGTCTGCACCCTCCATTATCGTTGCAACTACAAAGTCCCCTGCCCGTGTATATTAACAGCACTTGTATCACAATATTTAATAATACCATGACAGTTGACTTTGCATCAGTGTGGTGAAAGACCCTGATGGTAGTGATGACAATGCAAACTTGAGGACCATCGCTATCACCCAGAAAACAGCACAGAGCCCGTAGCCAATAGGTTTCATTTTGTTTTAAAAGATGACATCAAAACCACTATCTATCAGAGTCAGAATTTCTAAGGCTTCTGGCACATTCTTACCTCTCTATAACTCAGGATATCTACCCAGATAGCATATATGACCATCGGATGTTTTTCCATCTACTTCCTGCATCCCAAGTGGTCCTAGACCCTGCAGTTGCTACTGCTTGGCCACATGGCAGAAACACATTAAGGCAGAACGGGATTTACAGGGAAGTTTGTTAAGTATTCATACATATGCCTGACAAGGAAATTATTAACTCACTGAATAGTAACATGTAACATGTTCTGTCTAGGGAAGATGTGTGTATACATATGTGCACATATATGTATGTATATATATGTGTGTGTGTATACATACACACACACATACACATTATATTGGCATGGTGTTCTCTACAAACTAAAAGCACATAAAACACACTGACAATTATTATGCTTTATGCAAAAAATAGAGACAGATATTTAAATATTTATTTAATATCTATTTAAAACATAGATAAAAATATAGAGAGTAAAATTCACATGGCAGTATACTTCCCATGAGAATTGGATTAGATTACAACAAAATCAACCATGGTGGAGCTGATTAATGAGTTTGGAGACATGGGTCCTCACAACTGGCCAACGCCTCGCAGAATGCAGAGGAGATAGGAGCAGCCCTGAATGAATAAGGCTGTGGAGGGGAACATCCTGACTGCCAGAGTACTGGCCCAAACACGTCAAGAAGGACTTTCTCCTTGACTAGCGCAAACATGATGTGTATAAGTGCTACTGAACTGAAATCTTACTATAAAAATCGTTATTGGCTCTCCTGACTCATCTTACTTGTGAAATACATTGATATGTCACTGAATTACGTGACCACCTTGTGGCCATGAGGACACCATGACAACATACTCTGTCTCCTCAGCACTTCTGACCCCAGCTGAACATCACTCCT